GTACCCCGGCGCTGCCTGGTCTGCCCGGGTGCTGGATGGGTGCTGGTGGGGTCGGGTGTTGCTGGCCTGAGGGCTCGTGCAGTCAGCCTTTTCCCCGTCATATGTGTGTTCTTAATGAGTAACGCTGGGAAGTTTTTGTTAAATAATGTAAAAATTAAACGTTTGGCTTGCTTTTTACTTCCAGATCACTTTCTGCAAGCAGGTGCCATTGAAGAAACCGAATGAATGGACGGGTCAGGGCAGATAGGGAGTTTGCGTTTCATGCCGTCCGCTTGCCATAAGACATAAACAACACCGTGTCTCTGAAGTGACCCGGTGTCATTGGAGCTGTCTGCCCCGAGGGACTCTGGGGACCTCCGAAGGTAACAGTGTGTTCGGTAGCCTTCTTCCCTAACCCTCTGTTTCCATAAGTATTGAAAGGGAATCAGTAACTAATCAGTAGTGTTGCCAGACCTCTTCCCCATGTTTACGCCTCCTTTTAGGCCTTCTGCCTGTTCTGCTTTGCCAAAGAGCACTCAGGTTGCAGGCGTGCTTTCTGAGAAGATGCCAGCAAACACAGCCTTACTCTTTTGTCATGTCAGGTGACGTGAGTTTCCAAAGTGTTGTGGCCCACTGTTGCTGAAGGGAGTGATAGCTGTAGCAAGATACAAAAAATGCGTATTTTTATATTCCGTTCTGCCAGGGTGCAGTAACTTCTTAAAACACTTATCCATTCTCCAGTCTTACAGTTGCTTTTTTTTGCCAGAGTACTTGCTTTTGTGCTGTTTGTTGAAAAATGAGTGTAAGATCCTGTGAAGCACTTCTGCTTGAGTGCCTGTGTACTGCTGCCTTTTGTTGCCTTACATTCATTACGGAGCTTAGTTTCAGCCATGACTTGTTTGAAATAACTTCTGCTGTTAGAGTAAAATGTGCTGGTAGTGCCATACGAACAAACCTTTTGTCAAAACAATAAAAGTTCACGCTGACGGCCCGTAAAGGCCAAGTGTTTCCATGTATTATCAATCTTTATAATTACTGTCACCTTTGGTAGTAGTAATGTTTTTTCTTGGTACGTAGACGTATTCTAAGGCGCTTCTACATATTGTTCTGAATAGGACCTTTTGCAAAGTGTGGCATAACCTCATAAACATGCAGCGTCTCTCCTTTCATGGTGTTCTGTGGTAACAATTTCTCACCGACTATGCTTACTGCTGCCACTGAGCTCTGCCTGGGGCCGGCAGGGTGGCTCTCCCTTTGACGGAGCAAAGGACACCTCGTCTAAGTGGGGATGTGTCTGCTGCAATTGAAGATGCATCGGATATACACAGTGAATGGGCAGTGAATGTAGTCGAGCCTACTACACTGTGGCAGGAAGAACTTCCAGTTCAAAATGTGCCTCAAGCATTGTAGAGCTCTTAGTCTCTTGTGTAAGTGCCGGAAGCGTTAGGCAGAAGAGCTGAGGGGACCTTTAGTATAAGGAATTGGGAGTGCGCTCTTGCCCTGGCACTGTCTCGTCCACACTGAAAATCTGTTTGTGTTCTTTCTGCGACAAATGCCACACAGAGCCACCCACCAGATGCTGGGGACTGTAGCCACCTCAACTGCTTTCTCCCTATCCCTGGAACCGTGCATTGCAAGGATTGAATGTCAGTAGGTACCCCATGTCCCTTTTACCGAGTGGGTAATGAACACTGGACTGTACTTTAATTTACTCTTTGATTTTTTTTTTTAAATTATTTTTTTAACCCTTTGCTTTGCTTGTGAGCTGCTCATGGTTGCCAGCTGACATCAGCTCTGCCAAGTCCCACTGTATGCCAAAGCACAGAAGGCTGGCCAGAAGTGTGTGGTTGTGTTTTAATGATGCTCTGATAGGCGTATTTCTCGTGACAGCATTCTGTGCCTGGCAGCAGGGATGTTGTATCTGAAAGGAAGATTTTTTGGAACCATGTTTTTCCTTTCTGTATGTTAGAAAGTTACTGTAAACGTTTATATGCTGCCTTTCTCAAGAGAGGAGTCTGTGGCAGGGAGTTCCTCTTGCAGTGAATGTCACTGCAATACAGTGGAAAATCCAGATTGGCCTGCTCACCAGCCTGTTCTGCTTGCCCTGAGAGTTCCCAGAGGATCTGCTCAGCTGGGCAGGACCCGACTACACAGCTTTGGCCCTGGAGATGCCGCTTTCCCTGTTGGCTCTGTGAGAAGTTTGTGAAGGGGAGGGAATCCCTCAGTGGGGACGAACAGTGAGGTCAGCCTTAGACAGCAACTTGCTCTCTCCCTACTCTGCTCCTCCAGCGTCCCGTGTATCTTGAGCTAGATGTTAGGGTGGGTATCAAAGCAGAAAGGAGGTACGAAGCAAGAATTAAACGCTGCACAGAGTATTTGCCTTCAAGCCTGGGCTTGATTCTGTGTCTTCTATATAAACAAGCCCAGATACAATGTCTTCTCCCTCTCAGCATTTGTCCCATCTTATAAAAGTCCACATCTTGTGGATTATTATTTAAGTACAGTTGTGGTATGCAAACTCTGCAGTATTTTAAATGGGTGCTGCTTGTCAGCTCACCAGAAATGAGTTCTGTCCTTACTCCTTGCTGAGGATGCAGTTAAATGAGGCGTAATCTCTGTAATAACCCTCCTTGAATGTGGAAATTAAGCCTAGGAGGTGATAGGGGTACACATCATCTCTCCTCCCCAACCCTGCTAGCCAGTTTGAACCAAACAGGAGAGCAGATAGGAGGGAAAAAGAAATCAGAATGGCAATGTTAGCGGGAAATATCAGTGCCTTTGAAATTCCCTGCTTTAATTTGCACCTTGTTTCATAGTTCAGAATTTCATACTGGCAGGTCTGACCTGAGTGCTCGGGTTTTTTTGAATGTTGTGCTTTAAGGCATTTGCTGTTTCCAGTTGTGGTTCATTCAGTTCAAAGGAACTAGACCAAAATATTTTGATTAAAGGATGTGGGAGAAGGGAGGTAGAACAAGCAATAGACAAGAGGTGATTAGATAGTAGCTCATGTAACCAGACCAGCTCTAGCTGCTGAGTTAACTTCAGTTGATTTATATTTTTTGGCAAGCGCATCGAACCTGATTCATCATAATCCATAAATCTAATCAAGCGCGGAAAGCGCGTGAGCACAACAGGCATCCGAGAGTCCTCTGACGTATTGCACTAGCTGCAAAACATTCCATCTATTAACCACCAATTACTCACTAAAGTCAAAGCATTGTCATAAGCATAAGCGTATGTTATATCTGATTTTCTCATGCCTCTTCTGACCCTGAATTTGCCCCATTTGTGAGCGTTACCCTCCAAAGGAGGGCATAAATGGCCACTAATGAGGAAGCCAGCACATGAAAGCCTTCCAGTTTTGGGAGCTCTTGTCATCTTCCCGTGGAACAGGGCACCACCCCTGCAGAAATGCCACCGTATGGATTGTGGCGTTATTGCAGCAGTCACTTCCAGGTTTGTCTTCCAGTGCTTCCTCCGTGTTCTGTCTCTAGTGCCTGGATACATCCCTCTGCTTCCCTGAAGGCATTCCAGCGTCGTGGCGTGGGTGCCCTTAGTGAACAGTCTATAAGAGCTTTTTCGGCTTGCTTGTGGCTCTTCTGCTTGCTGCAGACACAAGCTGTGAAAGCCGTGTGGGATGGCAGACTAAAAATAACTTCCACCCTTGGTAATCTCCTAAGGAAAGCTAAGTCTCCTGCCTGGGTGCTGCGGATGGATTCTTCCTAGTTCCCTGTGGTCAGGCTCGCAAACGGCAGTGAGCCATGCCATCTGCTTTGAGGACAGAGTTGCTCTGGCAGGTGCTGCCTCGGAGAGGGAGCAGCTAGCACGGTGTTTCCGGGAGAAGGGCGATATTCCCACCTTGAGCTCGCGGATCCAGTGGATGCTGACTAGTACTGTAGACTTGCTCAGTTGTTCCTCTGATTCCAGCACACGGGAAAAGGAAGACGTGCGCATCCGGAGGGGACATTGTGTAAGAGGGATGATGTCTGACACTGCTAGGGTACCTACCTTTGCGTTTCCTGTCAGAGGAGTCGCTCACTGGGCCCTCTCTTTCCTTCCAGTGTCAAGGGCGCCATGATGGACAACCGTTTCGCTACAGCGCTGGTAATTGCCTGTGTTCTCAGCCTCATCTCCACCATCTATATGGCAGCTTCCATTGGCACCGACTTCTGGTACGAATACCACACCCTGTCCCCAGCTGAGAATGTTAGTGAATCTGGTAGGATCATCTGGGAGGAGTTTGTCAGCGAAGAGGCAGACGAGAAGACCTACTTTTTTGGTGCAACGGCACGGTTGGATTGTGGCGGAGGTGTATCACTGTACCCAAAAACTCTCACTGGTACAGCCCACCAGGTATCTCCGGAGCAATTAACACTTCCCTAGCTCAGCTGGGCTGCTGTGTGCTAACTTCCTCACAACACATTCATGCCACTTTGTTCCTCCAGAAGGCTTATTTCTAGCTTACATGGGGCTCTTTTTTTAACAGAGACACCGTAAATGTTGAAAGAAGAGAAATGCAAAAGGGTCTATGGCTGTCAGTGCTACAGACTCTGGATTTGACACAGAATATTTGATCCAAATGTAGTCTGGGGTAACCTGATTTTGCTTTTCCATCTGCTGTCCAACTGGGGATAGAGTTATAGTTGCTCTGCCAGTCACTGTCTTTTTAGGAGAGGTCCTGGGATCCAGCGATGCGATAAACATACTGTTTTATCAAAGGGGCACTCATTTCTAGTCATTCATTCGTGGGGGTTGGAACTAGATGATCCTTAAGGTCCCTTCCAACCCAAACCGTTCCGTGATTTTGCTTACAGATGTCACACCGTTGCATCGGCACATTTTGATCTCCTTGTACCGTAGTGCTGGATATAGAATGAAATATTTGTTTTTTCACGATGGTTGGGGGCTGAAAAAGGGTGATGAGCAATTATTTTAATTGCTTCCAAGTAGATTTTGGACACGTGCTCTGTGTCCAAAAAAGAAACACTTTTTCTGGAGAAAAAACATTGCATGAAATACTCTTTTTTTTTTTTTTTTCTTTTTCTTTTTTTCCCCTCTAATAAAAATACTTATCTTGGAAGACGCTTATACCAGCTCTGCTCAATAGTATTCTCAAAGCAACCCCTAACTGAGGCTGAAAAGGGGAAGAATTTAGTATAAAGAAGCAAATGCTTCCTGGTTTTAAAATAGTCCTCCCTGCCCCATTTTTGAATGCGATGTTTTCTGTGATCCCGCCTTCTGCCCGCGGAGGTAAGCGCGGCTCAGTCAAGCGACTCTGAGCACGACGAGTAGGTAAGCAGCAGAGCGGAGCGTCCTTTCCCTCCCCGTCTGCCGAGCACGGCCGCGTTCCCTGCGGGTAACCCAGGTAAGCTTGAAGGTGCTGCATGCTTGGGTGGTCCCTCATTGCAATCCCGGCAGTTCGCACACCATGTTACAGTGAGGCATCCCGCAGATCTGTTTGGAGAGGTATTTTTTTTCTTTAAAGTGGTTTTTTATCTTTTTTTTTTCTCTGAGGAGCCACCCAGCTTAAACGGTTGGGAATGGAGGGATTGAAGGGGGGAGGGATGGGAGCGAGACACCTAACCATAACCTGTTCTTTTTTTCTTTTCTCCCCAGAAACCGATATGACCACCAACTGCATCAGTTTTTCCCTCTCTGATCAGTTTATGGAAAAGTACATAGAGCCTGGAAATCACAACAGTGGCACGGATTTGAATCGAACTTGTAAGTGGCTTTCGCTTCTGGCGGATGAAAAAGTGGTTTCTCCGCTGCGCTCCCCGGTGAGGGAAGCGTCTGCGTCTTGCTCTGCCTTCGCAGAAGCACAGGCAGCAGGGCAGAGTCTAAAAGGGGAACTTCAGTGCTTTCCCAAAGGTTTTGCCTGTGAACGCAGCACAGAAATTTGGGAGTTAACAAATGAGGTTCTCCCTGCTCTGGTGGGGCCTTGGGCCCTTTTTGGCTGTGACTGTGGAGTGTCTGATGAAGCAGAAGCTGCGTGGGAAGAAGGGAAGATAAGACGGTGGGAGAAGCTGCCTTTCCAGGATGTTTTCAGCGAGTCCTGTGTGTTTTTTCCCGCGCAGATCTCTGGCGCCTGCAGTTTCTCCTGCCCTTCGTCAGCCTTGGCCTCATGTGCTTTGGGGCCCTGATTGGGCTCTGCGCTTGCGCCTGTCGCAGCCTTTACCCTGCCATCGCCACCGGAGTCCTCCATTTCCTGGCAGGTGGGTCTCCCGCCGCCCGCTCTCCCCGCTCCAGCGGCTCAGCCGGAGCGCTCCGGCGGGGAGCTGACTGCCCTCTGCTGCTTCCTTCCCCAGGGCTCTGTACGCTGGGCCTGGTCGGTTGCTACGTAGCGGGGATCGAGCTGCTCCATCAGAAGCTGCCGCTGCCTGATGACGTCAGGGGGGAATTCGGCTGGTCCTTCTGCCTCGCCTGCGTCTCGGCGCCTTTGCAGTTCATGGCAGCCGCTCTCTTCATCTGGGCGGCTCGCACCAACAGGAAGGAGTTCACCCTCCTGAAAGCGTACCGTGTAGCATAAGTGCTGGTGGGTGGCCGTGTTGTAGCCTCTCCTCCTCCCAGCCCTCCCTACTTCTTTTAGTCAGGATTTTACCCCGTACTGCGTGCTTCTTGCCACTTGAGACGGTTTCGCCTGCAGCCCCTGAAGACAAAGACCTCTGGGTTAAATGAACGAACCCCCAGAAGTCCGCGTGGCTTGAACGCGTTTTTAAATCGGAGTTTTTTAAGGATTGTTGTTGGTTTTTAAGCTCCAGTTCGTTGCCGAGTAACCCTTTGGTTAGGTGCACGTGCCTCTCCCTGATTTTATTACCCGGTCGACCTGGTGGACGTAGGGTGGGGGGTGGGAGGGAGATGGGAAAAGACGCGTGTAGGTGGGAATGGGAGCTGCGGTGCACAAACAACAGACAGTCAGGAGCGGTCTGCTGCGCGACCCACGCGGGTGGTACCGACGGCGAGCGCCCGGGAGACGTGGGGAGGAAGCTCAGCAACCTCTGTTACGGAAATCCCGTAGCTCAATCAGTCCCATAGCCTCGCCGTGGGTCTCTAGTTCTTGCTAGTCTCCTACTTCTTGCGGCTTCTGCCAAAACTGATGCGGGCAGAGCATCCGGCTGCGGGAGCCACCGTCCCGGACACAGACCCGACGCGTGCCGAGGGGCGGGTGAGTTGGCCCGCGGGGCGCTTTGTGCCGCTCTGGCTGCGCACGTCCGAGCGCTCTAATCCGAGCTGGTGGTGCTCTCGCTTGCTGTGAAATAAGGCCTTTCCTCTCGTCGCGCTGAAAACGACCCCTCAAGCATTTGGTTCTTCGTTTGGTTGAGTGTGTGTGTATATGTACATATATAAACTTAACTTTTTTTAAAGCTCACCTATTTATCCTACATAGCACACAACAGGGTTTTTTTAAAAGGTGCTGCTCTTTTCCCCGTCCTGCCCCAAACCTGGTGTTCCAATGAAATAATAATTAAAAAAAACCCTCAGAAATTGTCAGCGTTGTGTGAATCCGATGGGAGGGTGAGGGAATGGTCTGACGTGAACTTTACTTGGGGAAAGAAAAGCCATTGTCTGGATTGTTGTCCATTTCCAGGGAAACATCACCAGAAACAAAGATGTTTGGTTAGAAATTGGTTTTTTTTAATTTAATTATTGGGCTCCTGCTAACTTTCTCCTGGTCATTGCTGGGGGGTGCAAGACCCCATGGTTTCTAGTTAGTTCACAACTTCTGCACGTATTTCTTCTGCAGCTCTGGCCTGACCAGGTGGTATGTCTTACCTAGAAGACAGTGTTCCAAGGCTAAATTGTTCAATTCTGCAGCTTAACTCCCCTCGTTTCCTTACTCCATGATAACAAGATGTACGGCTTAGGAGAAGGAAATCCTGACAGGACGAATTGGCCTGTGATGATGGGCAGGGTTCTGTGAGGTACTCTTGGGGAGAATGCTGCAGGAATACACTGTTTGCTCACAATTGTTTGGTTTGGGTGGTTTTTTTTGGTTTATGCTTCTCTTTGTTTTATGCTCCTGTCACAGGCTGGGTGGAGAGTGGAT